GAATAGAGGGGAAGGACTACCTCCTGCAATCCATTGGCAATGCTCTTCCTAAGATACTCCAGGGTAACACTGACATTCTTGGCCACAAGAGCACACTGCTGGCTCATGGACAGCTCTGCTCCAAGGAATCACACATTTCTCAGGCTCAGGAACAGTACAGGGGATAACTTCATTTTTAAGGCTGCAGCAATGGCTGCGATTCCCAGATAAAAACAAAACCTACACACTGTCAAGGGAGGTGGGGATGGTGGAATTCAGTTTCTGAAACCCCCTTCTTGGGGTAAGCACTGATACACTTTCAGAAAGGGAAGTTTATCCTCCAGCTCTACAGGGAATGAATATGGTGCCATTTAAAGACCCAGAGGCCCTATAAGCTGCTCTGAGCTAAGTCATCTCTCCATTCCATGGTTACCATGCATAAATGGTAAAATAGTGATTAAATAATTAGTATTCATGATGTATTTCATGAAGCTTTTTCCTACACAAACCCGCAAATGATCATTAAGGAGGAAAAATTCCTGCAGGATGCTTTAATGCTGCTACCAACTGTATTAATTGTAACATGGATTTTCAGTCAAAATTCAAGACACGCTGGTGAGACACAGACTACCATTCTAGAACAAAGTACATAACTAGACCCACACAGCCATGACCACAAAATAACCTGCAGAGAAAGAGAGAGACAGATACAGGGGTGCTGATTTATCTTAAAAAAAAAAAAAAAAAAAAAAAAAAAAACCACCCCAAAACAAAACAAACAAACCCACACAAAACAAACAAACAAAAACAAAACAAACAAACAAACAAAAACCCAAACCAAAACCCAACAAAACAAGACAAACAAAAAAAAAACCACCTTGCAGCTGGCAAGGAAACATGAAGCTATGACAACACCATCTTTTTCATGATCAATATAAAGCTACATGCCTTGTGTGCTGAACCAGCAACCTTACGTGGTAGGCGTTGTTTGTATTTTTAATATGGTTCATCTTTAGTTCAATTAGAAATATTAGGATGGAATGCTACCTAATCATTTTGTTGATGCATGGCAAGTCTTTACTGTCAGCAGTCGGTCAGCAGAAATACAGACAAACAAAGGTAAGAATTTAGTCTTAAAAATGAAAATATGTTAGTAATATCTTAATTGTATTATAGTGCATTACACTTTAGCTTTAAGCAATTTCATTCATTGTGTATGCAACATTTAAACTTTTATTAGCCTCTCTGGATGGGAAAATGACTGAGCTGGAACCACAGAGAAGGAAAGGATGTGCTTGGTGTTGCATTACGCCCTTTGTTTTTCTTTTTTAACAAGAGGACAACAGCTTCAATCATAGTCATGCTAAAGAAACCTGCATTTGATTATATTTAATGCACACTTCTTCATCTCTTGCTGACATAACAATGGTAATTTGAAAACAAACATGACTAATATATCACTGACCTGCATCATACATATTTACATGAGAATAGGCACTCTGCATGTTTAAAATGTCTCTGTAGAAGCACCATGTAGCAATACACAAAATCAAAGATGAATAAAAGCTTTTTAGGTTTTCAGCCACTGTTTTAAGGAAAAAAAGGCCCACCATGTTTTTGTACCACAGATACTAGAGAATATATAACATTTAATTTAAAACCGAAACAGTCTGCTAACTTAAAAGAGAAATTTAACTACCTTTTTCTTCCCAGTGTCAATACTTTGAGCACAATCCCAATTAATTTTTTCCATTATACTGCTTGCAAACACTTAAAAGAAGACAAGCTGTAAATCTAGTCCTCTAGATGATTTTATAAGGGACGCCATTCTGTTTTGATAGGAAAATGTTACGCACTACATAATACAAAAGTGGTGGCAGCAGCTGTGGGTTTTCTATCACAGGTTTGCAAACACATCTAATCTAATTGATGAGCTTTTGTTTAAACATGCATTGATATGCATCCTGTGATGCATATGGTTTCAAAGATTCAGAGCAATATACAGCCCAAGTGATCTGCCTGTGATGTTAAAACAACTTTTGTATGACTGAAAATATGAAATATCTTTATTAATGCTACTTCCACAAATAAACAAACAAACAAACAAAACAACAACAAAAAACCCTAACCAAAATCTCGTAATTATTATATAGCTGTGCTTGTTCCAGTTCCCATTGGAACTGGAAATTCAATTCATACCGATTTTAACTGACTGATCAGGACCACAGTGGATAAACATTTATTCTCCACGCTTTGCAACACACAATTAAAAAAAACTAATTTGAAATCTGCCATTACTGCAAGCAACTTACACAATCTTACATACTCATGCACATATAAAATGAATTATAGGTTTTACGTTCTCAACTGAGGTAACACCATATTTTGCAAACATATCAATTCTTCATGTGATTTTCCTTTGTTGCAAACATCTTTCTTCCATGTTGCTCGGAAATAACACCTTTTCTTTATTATTATTGAAAATAAATTAATTTCTCAAATATAAAATCTGAAAACAGTTGATTTTATCTCATTTGGCCAAATTCAAATTATTTTTCCAGAAAGCAACGACATGTAATTTAACATCAAGTTGCCATCAGAGAAAGTCTGTGTCTAGACTGTGCGACTGATATTCAGGGTCATCTTTATTGAATAAGCAGTACAAATACAGCTTCAGAAATAAAGGCATTACTTGATTTTTTTCTTCTTTCTCTTCAAGTATCATTTCAAGATGTTTGAAGGCTCAACGTGTGTCAATAATCTTAATTGACAAACTGTTTTTTTCTCAATCTTTGGCCTATGTAAAGCCTTCCCCCAAATTTAAATAAAATTGCACTTGGAATTTACTATAGTTATTTTTTGGTGCATTCTGCATTTCTTTGTAATACAGAAAAGCAATTCTTCTAGCTCCCACATTATGGAAACAGATAAAAAAAAGGCACCAAAGCACTAAGGAAAATTTAGGGAAATTGCAGAAAATTCCTGGGTGAGAGGGAAAGAATGGAGTCTCCAGTTTACCATGCTGCCTTGTTCTCTACGAAAATACTGAGTAAAAGATTCATTACAGGGAAAACTATGAATATTGAATGAAACAGTGAAATGGTAGTTTTCATTCTCATCTCAATCCATGAAAAGGACAACCACTGTAAAACTTCTATTTGAGAGGATATATGGCACAGTTAAAATGGAACACTTTCCCATGGAGAACTTGGAGGAAAACAACTTCTAACAGAAGTATACTATTTACAATTAATCCAATCAGAGACCTTTATTTGGTTTGAGTGTTGTTTTGTTTTTTTTCTAAACCCCCTTTGGTTAATAGTAAATTCATCAGGATGGTCCTTCCAATATCTCGTTACAGCTCTACTTCGAGTTCTATTCCCTTGTGAAGCAGCAATTTTTGGCATTGTTCAAGCCACCTTTACAGTTCAATTCAGCAGCTCCCTCTCTCTCCTAAGGAGAAGTTGCTGTTAGCTCCCTGCACTGCAGTGCAATGCAGCCCAAGTACCAGCAGTACCAAGTGTGTTTATCTGAATAGGTTCCTCTCGTGTTGTACTAACCTCTGCAATCCAGCCCCCCCACATCAGAGATACACTCATCAGCATCCTAATCCTTTACGTAAAGGAGAGAAGGATACTATCAATCACAGAGGAGCCTTTGGGTTATCTCAGCATCTTTCCATAACACGTTCTTCCTCCTCCCCACCTGTCTTTATGTGCTTCTTCCTTATTTCTTCCTTCTTTCCTCAGCCCCCTCCTTTCTGTACAGCTGTGCCATGGCCACCCCAGCGAGCATGACTCAGCTCCCACCCTCGCCCCCTACTCACACTGTGCCCACACTGCTTTAAAGGATTAGCGTCCAAAGACTAATCAGTGACCTCCATGTTCAATTACCTCCATGTCACCCAGCCCTCCTGTCCCTGCGGTGTCCTGCCTCCCTCCAGCACGGCCAGACCAGCTCCTACGCCTCTTTGAATTACTCAGACTCTTCTACCCTGCAACACTGTTTAAATGAGGTGGGGGGTTGCCTCAAAAAAAAACTCACCATCCCATGGCTCTTCCTAACACTGGGACTTGGATTATATTTTTCCTAACTGTGACTTCTCCACACTCCCCTCCCCATATACTGTCGGAGGCGTCTCGGGACCCAAATTCCCAAAGCAGTCTGCAAAGCAGGAACTTAGCGTATTTTGGAAAAGTCCTCTCCTGAAGCTGCAGGGGAGGGAGTTCCCCACTCCCCCTCAAGGGTCACGAGTGCTAAACTATTCTCCCAACGCAGTCGATGTGAGTTACAATACTTGAGGGAAATCCACAATGAGAAAAGCAACAGTGTTTTCAAAATGCCTTAAACTGGTTTTCTTTCGCTCGTTCGTTGTTTTTTTTTTTCCTCCTTTCTTTTTTGTTTCAAGGTCTGAAACCCTGCCTGTTCCATTTTTAACAGATCTTAGTAAGTGCCGGTTCCCTGAGGAGCTGGAATTGAAAACCTTTGTGTACCTTTGGTTTTCCTCCCTATCCTTACTGCTAGGACATCTGCAAACTTGTTTTCTTCAAGCATCTGGAGTCTGCGAACCTCGACACCCCTTGTTTTTGCTCCCCTAGCGTGCAAAAGTTTTGCCAGCTTTAATATGCCAGTCAGCTTCTAAAGCAGAGATTAGACGCTCACACCGCCTCGGATCTGTGCAACCTGCTCTCTCTGTGCAAAGAGCGAGTGAGATCTGGATGGAGCTGGAGCGAGCAGCAGCCGAGCACAAACTGCTCACGCTCACCGCGAAGAAGGGGAATCCCGCGCTCCCGTCCAGAGCTCCAGCTGCCCCGAAGAGAGCTTTGCTCCCGCGCCCCCCGTCCAGCAAGCCCCCTGTTAAGTTCCGTGGAAAAGTTGAAGTCAAGCATGCAAAAAAGAAGGAAGGGGGAAAAAAAAAAAAAAAAAGAAAAGAAAAAAAAAAGAAAAGAAAAAAAAGAAAAAAAAAGGAAAAGTTGCGGGGAAGCAGCCGCGGCAGTCCGAGTGCCCGGAGCATCACTTACCGGGGGCAGGCAGTGCAGAGCCGCGGCAGCTCCCTCCGCTGCCGCTGCCCCTGCCTCCTTCTCGCGGCGTGAGGCTGCGGAAGGGAGCGAAGAGCCTCCCGGAGGAGCCGCCGAGCGTGACAGACCAGAGAAGGGGCGGACCAGAGCGGCTGTGTGGGCTTCGCGTTGCGGTGGAGCCTCTGCGGCAGTGCCGGGGAGAGAGGGGGAGCGGGCGGGCGCGGCGGGAGGCGCGGGGCGGGCGCCGGCCGCCACCATCAATAACCGGAGGCGTGGGGTGCGGGGAGGGCGATCCCCGCCGCACGCAGCGGCTGGAGCCGGAGGAAGGGAAGCACGGAACCGCCCCCCCGCCACGGGCAAGACTGGAAAGCCTCGGTAAAACGCGGCCCTTTTTCCCACTAGAAGGGAAAAATAAAAATAGCGACGCTCACGCATGCACTTTATTTCAGAACACAGCGTTTTATGAGAGTGAGGACAGGGGACAGAATATGAAATTGCTTGTTTCAGAACAGGTTGCAACAGGCCCGATGATCACCCGGAGATCACCGCATGCCTCCTGCTTACTCTTGTCCCAGTGCGCAGGCTGTAAACACTTTGCAGCAACAGTGTGCAGCTGTCTGTGCTCCACATGCAAAGACTGAGACTGAAGATCAGGGTGAAAATAAGTGGTGTAGGAAGTCCCAGGAGCAATATTCACTCTCCTGAGTGAAAAAATTACTGACCAGGGGGACAGGGAAGCATTAGAACTCACTGCCCAGAGTGATGGTGGGCCCATATCATGCATGGCTTTTTAAGAAAACATCAGAAAAGTACATGTGTATAGATGATTATTTGTTTTGGCATAAATGGATAGACTAGAAGCCTTTTCTTTAAACAGCAGGATGTTACTATGTTTATTACCATGATCAACATATTTTTAATGCAGTGGTATCAAAGACTGAAAGCTATATCATAATGTTTTCACACTAGATGTTAATATCCACTGTAGAGCAAAGAACATGGATTTAATGCTCCTTTATGATTACATACGTTTACCTTCAATTGCACCAGCAAAGTGTGTAATGTGACAAACGTAGTGGTATTTCCCAGATTAAGATATGAGAGAAAGTGAAGAGAGCAGGTAGGACTCCATACTAAAACTACTTCTAAAAATCAGCAAATACTCAATCAGTTCTGTTGACAAACATGGGACTTGAGTTCATCTTTCCAAAATATTTTAAACCATGACTAATGCCTGTAATAGAAAGGTAGGATAATGGGCACTTACCTTCATTGCCCCTGCACATGCCTAGTGTGTCTTCTACAGAGTTGCAATTTTTGATACCCCATCTGCCTTTGAGACTTACTGTCAATATTTGTGAGCTTATATGCATGTTTTCCTATGCCTTGAAATATTTTTCTTTTCCTCTGTTGTTTAGCAGAAGACTCAAACATCGAAGGAAACTGGCTTATTGATTGGCTACCCAGGGGAAAACTGAATGAACTATGCATGGAGTGCTGTCAAGTGTGAAACACAAGTAGAGAAGCAGAAAAAAAATACCTAATACTTTTCTGTCTCTTTCAGTAATCCTAGCATTAGAAAATTACACCTGGTGTTACAAAACAGCACCTGCCTGTAACTAGACTAAACTTGTCACAAACAATATAGAAGAAGAACAAAGATTCCAGAATTATCCTATGGCAGCAAAAAAAAGGCTATCTGTGCTACAAAAATAAGAATGGTGGTAAAATATAATTTCCATCCACTTACTGTTGACTATCCAAAAGGAATTTTATACACATTTTATGTGTATAAAATGCATCTTAATCCAACATTACTGTATTTTACTGAAATAAAATGGTTAGGACAAAGGCACCTTGTCAGCTCCTTGTGAGCTTTTGAGCAAATATAACAACTACGAAAGAAAAAAACACCACCACATTTAGGTTTTGAACACACAGGACTGAAATGCTAAGAAAAATAAATCACTGTGATAAAAGCACAATGGATGAACTCATGAATTTTTTTAACCTTGCCTTCAGAGTTCACTGAGAAAAGGACCACTACAGCAGCCTCCTTCCTCCTCACCTACTGTGTTAGGGACAGGGACGTTCATGATGTAGATTTGTAGGCATTTTGTAGCAAACAGGCAGATAGACTAAAGGATTAAAGAGAGAATTTTGTCCACAGAAGGAAAAGGTGTATGGTTTTGTAGTTAGATTAAACTGATGTTAACACTGTGCTTCTACTGCAGAGATCAGTCCTTCCACTTGTTCTTCATTCTGTCACTTTCTCCATCAGTTTTATTGTTTGTGTGGCTTCAGGGTAAAATGAGTTGGTGAGTAGATCTGACTGCAGAATAAAACTGGAAACCAAAGGGACATATGTCAGAGTGTGGTGGGTTTTCAACTAGATCAGCGATAGTCTTACTTGTCTCAGGCTGAGTTAAGCTGATCCTGAACCTTCAGCACACATATAGGACTGACTGTGTTAGCTCAGATAGGTTGTTGTAGGAATGTGTAGCATCACTGAAGTAAAACTGTATAATGTCTTCTTATTCTGTTTTCTATCTAGGTATGAAAGGATAAAATTTCTTCCACCCCAAACTTCCCCCAGCAGGAAGCTGATATCATTCCTGCCACCAGGAAATGCATGCTGAGGTCAATTGTCTGCACACTGGCAACTTAAATGGAAAAAGTATCTCTCAAATTTGAGAATTTTACACAGAATACCTATGTTTTCCCTGCTACTGGATCTGACGATTTAGACCTTTCCGAAATTTGGTCTTGAGACTACTCTTTCATATCAAACAGAAAAATTTGATCTTTATACGCATTCAGTTAAGCTCTATCTGCTGATCTGTCACTTTTCTGTAGAGACTACATGACACATCTAGGCTTTTTCATTTACACCTATCACAGACTCAACAACACAATATTTATGGCTAGTGGATTACTCTAGAATATGACCACATACACATTGCATTCCTTCTCCAACAGGACAAAGCCAGAGGTGTGGTTTCTATCCATTAAAAAACAACTAAACCTTACTAACATTATTTTGTAAAGGAATTGAAAAATGCAGACCCTGTGATTCTTCAAAAGTATGTATTCCACACTGTTTTTAAAATGTTTTAAAATGGAAAATAAATCTCTGTGTTAAAACACTGTTGATAGTTTGTCATTATTATTATTTTTATTTATTTTAACTTGCTCCTCAAATGCTTGTCTGTGATACATTAGGTTTTTTTCTCCATTATTTGCTTTTCAGGTTATAAATACAGCAATATCTGGCTATAGAACAATGATTAAAATAGAAACCAGCAAAGATTTATAGGATTTTCCTTGAAAAGAAAGTTAAATGTTTCACAGAATCAGGATCTTACACCACATGTTTCTTTTGTACAAGTGCCACCTTTATCTCTGATGTAATCCTACAAGTAATTTCCTTGACTTAAATGGGGCAATGGAAAATGATTAGAATATAGATATAAAGTACATAGAAACATTTAAGGTTAATCTTCCACAGGGGGTCAAGAACCCACAGGAATCCTCTGAGCTGCTGTGGTAAACACCTTACGTCAAACATCAAAGCACTTCAGGATTCTATTGTATGCAGTATATAAACAATTCAGACTACATCCATGCACAGTGACCTAACACAAAGGTCCTGAAAGAGACATTTGGACTTCTCTTCATTTTGAATAAGTAACAGCAGAAAAAAAACACCTAAATGTACAGAAGGAATTCATTATGGTTTCAGGTGACAGAGAAATTGTCTGCAGTTTGTCTAAAAGAAAAATAATTCAGTTTTCTTTAGCTATGCATGAGATACTTGCTTGAATTTTACCCAGAGATTGTGCACCATTATGTTTAGCCACATCCAATTGGAAATATACAAATATAAAGTCTACTGAATGAAAGGGAAAGATCTGATACTTCTTTGCTGTCAAATGAAGATCATTTTTAAAATCAGTCTATATGGTACTGATTCATACACATAAGAAATATATATCAAACCATGTTTTCCCGTGGGCTCATAAAGCAAACAAAAAACCATGACAGGTTAAAGCTGCCTTTGATCAAAAGATACTCTACCTCTTCTAAAATTAAAGGTGAAGAATCATGAAATGAATCTTCACATAATGTAAGCAGGAGCAACCTTATCAGCTAAGTACTCTACCAACAGGAGGACTATTAAAATCTAAATCCTTTTGATCCTTCTTGCATTTCTTTTCTTTTGTTTCACTGCTATCTAAATTTCAAAATCTGATTTGCAGGAATGAGTGGCTTTCTGGCAAGAAGGAACATTAAACATGTATCTCCTAAATCCTAGTTTAAGGTCTTCTGCTGACCTGCTGCACTGACCTCAAACAGATAATTTCCTAAAGCCACTGTTTCCTTTCTTGTTCTTTGTTGCCTTGTTTATTTAAGATTTTTTTGTCTCTACACATGAAGAATAATTTGGTCACACCACTGTCATGAATAAGTCCTTTAGGTCACTTACAGAATCACCATCAAAGGTTTTAAAAAAGCAGGGTTAACATAAATATAAGAAAACATGACAAAGTTTCATGGTGAGGTTCACTCTTGTTTACTACATGGCTGAAACATGTAAAGAAAAAGTATATTAGAATCAAGTTAGAATTATTTCCACAGAGACTTGAGATGGAAAAGGGTAAGGATGCAAAAGGGTAAACGACATCCTTCTCTTGAGTCCCGAGGTTCAGAGAGGACCCCCTTTCCTTCTAAACCCCTGACAGAGCCTAGGTGTGGCTGAATCAAATCTTATCCCAGACGAGGTCATGGTTATTTATCAGTGCCTAATTATTGATTAATTTGGCACTTACAAAGCAATTTAATATGATTTACTACAATTACAAGAGTGGCTTAAATGTAGACCCAACATACTATACTTGCTTTAGGGTCTCTAAATCAATTTGTATGCTCACACAGAGACACAAAAGCATTTACATACAAATGCACAAATACCAGTGAAAAATTCCCATCAAGTTCAGTTCGCATTGAATGCCACTGCATTTCCCTGGGTGTGAGGGTTGAACCTCAAGCAGTGGGGACAGGTATCAGCCCAGACCTCATTATCAGCTTTTGGCAGTGATCCTCCTAGTATTTCAAACATGAGGGTTTGCAAGTTCTGAAAGGTGTTCCACTCAGAGGGAGA